CAACCTTATAGGGGGTGAAGAGCTAACAAACTTGTTTATACTTGTGATGAAGATTTGAAGTCAGTGTTTCTTTTCTTTTTATCTCACTCTCCTTTTCCTTTTTCCTTTTTTGCACTTTTCACTCTCTTTTTACCTTCCTTTCTTTCTCTGAGTTTAGTTTGTATTAGTTTTTATTACTGCAATTAAAATCTTCAATAAAATTATATATCAAAAAATAAAGAAAATGTCCAAATCATCTTCCCAAACCCAGACATGCCTATATATGCAATTGGCCCCATCCACAGAGAAGTAACCATGCATGAATTTATTCCAGAATAACACTTTTATAACAACCCTCTTCCCTTCAATTTGTATGTGTTAACCCAGGACTTTCCTTAATTATCCATATGTTCTATTTAGACATAGAATGGGAATGCCAAAGGGAAAGGAGTGAAACCGCATTTGAGTTTGAGAGAAGCTTGCCTATTTTACACCAAACTTCCCAAGATCATTTGGAGTTCTTTCAGAATATATCACACAATTTGGATTAACCCAAGTCAGATTGGAACTCTGGATTGTGATGTGGACTTGCTCCAAGATTTCTGCTGTAAGTGCTCCAGAGCACAATTCAGAAAACTTTTCCACAGAGTTTGAAGCAGGATTCAGATAACCATCCTGAAGCTACACTGCACATCTAAAACACTTTCTGAAAGAGACATCCAATGCAATATTACATTACTAAAAAATAAATTAATACAAGACTTACTTAGAACATACTACATGAGTGATAACATCTCTGTGCATATAGCTACGCTCATACATTGAAGCACTGGGAAGATTATCCAGGTAGACATGTTCAAACTCAAGAACTATGAAGAAAGTAAGAAACATTTTTAATTAAAAATGCTTCATTCGAAATTATACTTAGATTTCATTTAAAACAAAACTTAACAAGACTTTTTAGTCAAAATAATACAAATACCAATCATCTCAATATTATGATAGCTGTGTGCTTTGATTCCCTAAAGCTATGCATAACTTGATCCCAGTACAAACAAGAAGGAAATACGTGTGGGATCACCTGGTTAAAATCCTTCCATTCTAATTCATTTTTTAGGATGATGATTAGATTTTTATCCTGCCTTTTTAAAAATATATTTTGGTCATCTCCAAGGCAGCGAACATACTTAATACTCCTGCCTATTTTTCCCACAACAATTCTGATGGGACCCATGAAGTGAGCCTGCTCTGTCACAGTGCCTGTCATATGGAACACATCCCTCCAGAGATCTATATGGTCCCTACCCTGGCCTCCTTCAAATGAAGCCTTTAAACCTGGCTTTTTCCCCAGGCCTTGGGTTAGGCTGGGTGGTGGGTTTTTGGTGGATGTACTGTATGTTGAGAGGTGTTGGTTCCACTTTGTCCAGATGACTATTTTCTTTATTTCATTGTTGTTAATTTAGTTTTAAGACTACACCACCTAAGTCACTATGGAGTCTGGGGACCTTACAAATTTGATAAAAAAACAAACTTTTATAGAAAAATAATGAGTTTGTGCACCCTGGTAATTAATTTAACAATGTGCACACTAGCTAGAAAGGGGAAAAAGTAGGCAGGGGTAATATAAATTGACTTAATGGAGGGACACATAGAAAAGGTAGTAAGTGCCACTGTGATATTTCTTGACTTCTGTAACACAGTGAACATGTTAACCACATGGGGGTAGGTGGGGCTTTATCAACACACAGTGAGCTACAAAAAATCCAGTCAAGGTTAAAACCAATCAAAAGTATTAGCCCGATTACTAATGAACAGGAGAATACACCCAGTGGAATCAGTGGGAAAAATAAGCCCAAACTGTTCATAAGAGTAAATAGTAATCTTGACAACAGTGCTAATATTGACAAATGCCATAATAATAGTGGCCCACTTCCTCTATAAGCCCCTTCCTCCAATTAGAATCAAAAACTGTTGCTTAATATAGATAACCTCCTTCAAGTAGATTAAGACTTGGAATAGAAATGTTATCTGATTTACAGTTTATTTGGACTCAAATTCATGGTATAATTTTATTACCTACAGCAGTGTTGACAACCTGAACTACAGTTCTAAACTTGTCTTCTTTACTTTGGACCAGTGTTTCTCCATCTCAGCAACTTTAAGATGTGTGGACTTCAGCTCCCTGAGATGGAGAAACACTGCTTTAGACTGTTCACAAGACTGAATACCCCTCCACTAAAAAAAACCCTCCATAGACATAGCCCTTATGTACAGATAACACACGTGGGTGTAAGGGTGCACAAGCAGGTGCATTTAATCATGTGAACCTGAAACTGTCATCTGAGGTTTAAGACTTGTCACTTCTGTCTTCCAGGCAATCGACAAATATCAATTTAATCCACAGATCTAGAGATCACCACACTGAGGAAGGTTGCTCTAAATCAATATGCACGGAGTGGGAAGTTGTGACTTAGAGATACTGACTAGGAAATCCAGCCGGATTAGGTTTAGGTTGCAATCCGGTAACTCTATACTTGGCATTAAATCCCATTAAACTCAGTAGGATTCCCCGAGAAAAAATGTCTAGGATCACCGTCTTAGGACTGACGGGGTCTAGGTGCTTCTCCACCCTTGATCTCCCGGATTCCTCCCTTACCTCTTCTCTTTTTCGCCTGCACAGCCTCCCCAGGTAGGGGCCCCACCCAACGCTCTTGGTCTTTGTCTTCTTCCTTTTCCCCTTCCTCCTCAGACCCTTCATCTACTTTGGCCACCTGCTTCTCCTCCTCCTCCTCCTCCTCCTCTTCTCGAGCCCTTCTCTTGCGCAGACATTCCACCGACGCCATATTGCCTTACGTCATCTTCTGGCAACGACTCGCCGAGAGCCATCCTGGTGGCGGAGGTAGTGACGCACGACGCACTCACCCTCTAACCTTTCGAGCGGCCAATGAGAACGCAGCCCGCGCGGATTTGGACGCGAGAGAACATCGTCGAGCTTCGGTGCTCTCCGTGAGGCGAAAGGGGCAGCAGGAGGGAACAGAAACGTTGCTATGGTAATGTCGGGCGGCAGGCCGGGTGTGTGTGTATCCCCTGGGCTTAACAGCAACGGGAGAGGGGGAGAAACGCCTCCATCCGCCCCATTGAAAAGGTTGCAACGGAACGTCTTGCTTCTGGAAAACAGCTGTCTGTCCGGGAGGATTGGGGAACCGTAGGTTCTTTACCCCAGCTCTAAAGGGCTGCAGTTTCCTAGTCTAGTGCAGGAACGATTTACATCCCCACAAGAGGGCCACTTGGCCTTATCAGGTTCAAACGGAATATCCTAGATTATAATAACAATTTTTCAAAAGATGGAAACCCAACTTTAAGCTGCAGTTCTTTTCACTGATTCCTAGGATAGGCCAGTTCGGGCTATAGGTTAAGGCATCAGGCTAGAAACCAGGAGACTGAATTCTGGTCCCACCTTAGGCATGAATGCCGGCTGGGTGACTTTGGGCCAGTTACTCTCTCTCAGCCCACGACGTCAGGTTCGGGCGACATAGGACGGTGAATATAAAGAAAGATACAGGCTGGCCCTCGTCTCCCAGCTCCGTGCTTTTAAAAGACGTTTGGCAGGCAGGAATCTAACTGATCTACTTTTCGCAAAGAATTGTAGAATTCTTCTCTGACAGGTTGCTAGAACGGATAGCAAGAGCCTTCAGAATAAGGAACAGAGGAATGCAATCATTCTGCATAATTGAAAGATTCCTGTGCCTTTAAAATATACACTTATTGTTGTATAGTAGAACATATTCGGTCTAGAATGACAAGTCTTGCAGTGTCTAATCGCACAAGTTTGACATTAATTCTGTTTAAGGAAAAAAAAACCTAAAATATAAATTAAGTGGTAATAAATCACATAATATGTTTTTGTTCTTGAATTAAGAGAGATGTTTTGTTTTCTGTTTTTGCTTTAGATTATTATTGTTGTTTTTCCACTGTAGCTCTACTGGACAAGTAAAATAACTCACAATAAACAATCCTCCAAGGGGATGAGAAAGAGACATTTCACTTTACTAAAATATTATTGAATAGAGCAGAAAGAATGCATTCCAAAATATACAAACACATATACCATATGTCTCCCAAATTCCTAGAATTTTCACTGGCTATGCTGATTGGGAATTGTGGAATTACAGTCTGGAGGATAACAGGTTTAGGAAAGTTACCACAGCTGCCTAGCAGACTAGCATGATACTTTCAATCTTTATACAACATGTAATTAACCTGTGGATTTCATTACTACAAGTTGTGATTGGATAGTTTTAAAAAGAGATTAGATAAATACATGGAGGACAAGTCTACTGAGGGCTATTGGTTTTGAAGACTGTCACCTCTGGATTGGAGGAAGCATGCTTTCGAAAGGAAGCAATGGGAGGTGTATATACAGTGGTACCTCGGGATACGAACGCCTCTACTAACAAACCGGATCCGCGGCCATTTTCCCTGCTGCCACGCGGTCGCGGCTTCCTGTGGGGGAGGTCGCGGTAGCAAGGAGACGTTCGGTGAGGCTTGTGTGTTTTGTGGTGTTTTGCAAAGGTTTTTGGTGTGCGTGTTAGCATGGCTCCAAAGAAAATGCAGAGCAGGAGTAAGGCTCTGAAGAGGAAATGGCCTCGGGTTACGACCAAATTCGGGTGGAGGGCGGAACGGATTAACCGGATTTACATTGAACCCTATGGGGAAACTTTACCTCGACTT